ATACATTTAGCATAAGTGAGGGAAAATCAAATAATTATTAAAATGAGGCAATTTCCTGTATATGATTTCTGGTGCATTAGAGATTAATGACAGTAAACATCTTTTCTGTGTTTAGTTTACAGTAGCTATAGACCCTGCAGAGGCAGAAGAGCTTCAGTATGAAGTGCCTCTGTGGATAATCATTGTGTCCGTGTTGGCAGGAGTGATTCTGCTGGGGCTGATTGTCATTTTACTGTGGAAGGTGAGGATCCTTTTATACTTCAGTGCTCCACACTTTCCTTTTGTTCACACATCTGCGTGTTATCTAGATGGAATGACACAAACAACGACTATTTTATCTCATTATGCTTTGACACCATAAACAGTGTGAAGGTTTTTTTTTTTTACCTCCACCTTGAGAGAAACAACACATCATAATCTTTTTCTGTGAGGCAACATTTCACACATTCATGATGGCACTTTGGTGCCCGCAAACTTACTGATCATAACCATATATTCTGTTAACTGATAGAATGTTAAAATACCTACCTACGTTATTAAAATAGTAGGCCACATAATATTTTAGCTTTTACAATAGCAATTGAACATATATAGACAGTGAACAGTGTTACACACACAAACCACCATCCAGGTAACACACATGACACTAAAATTATGCTGTAAGCATGAATTAAATAACAAACAAATTATCATAATATAATCAAATGTGGCACATAATGCAGGGACTTCATAAATAAAAAAACTAAATGAAAAAAATCACCAAAACTAAAAAAAAACTAACAAAATAATAATAAACAATAATTATTTTTAATCAAATTTACAAAAAATTAAAAAACACATTTCTTGTTGAATAAAATATAGTGATGCATAGCATAAATGATAATGTAATTCCCAAAATTACATATCATTGTAAATTGTAAATGATATGTTTCCCAAAACACTTTTTTACAGTATTTTGCAGTCAAATTACATGTTTTTTTTAATTATTATTTCTTTTACATTTTATAGTGTTGATAGATGCTGCACATGGATATATTTTGAATATATCACACATATATCAAAACATTTGTACCAGAAGAGCAGCTGATTTAGGTCTAGATCAATTCTTCCAACCATGCCTTGTGTTTTGTTTGATTGCTCATATCTGAATCCTGCTCCCCAGTGTGGTTTCTTCAAGAGGGCCAACACCAGAGAGCTTTATGAGGCCAAGGCCCAGAAAGCAGAAATGAAAACACAGCCATCTGAAAATAACCGCCTTACAGAGGAAGACTGAGATTCGCTGGCCTTTGTGGGCCTCTGACACAAATAGCGAATTCGTAGGTGCCACAGCCAACAGCTCTCTAGCTAAAACACTTGGCTTAATTAACAATAATGTATTCCATGCAAGCTCCGCTAATACTGTCTTTCCTCTTCCCTTTTGAGGCACAACGCTTGCCTTGTCTGTTTTCGACTCTCATCATTGCTCTCAAAAACACTAGAGTTTTTTTTCCTGAAACAAATTGATATGTAAGGCTCTTTGTTATGTCCTCAGGCTTGTGATGCCGTTATCTTGGAAATAGAATGATGTTTTAAAACATCAACTGTATATTGCTTTAATCCAACTTCTGAACTCCTTTTCTTGCTTTGACAAGACTATCTTTCTCTGCATTACCATGTTCTTTTCTTTTTGACAGTTTGAGAGCTTACTTTCAACTGAGGCAACAAACTCCTTCTGATCACATCTTCACTTACAGAGATAACAAGCTTTCTTTTTCCCTTCACAATCTGCAGCTGAATTTATAATACATTTTTACACGCTTGCTCTAACTCTGAATAATTTGCTCCCTTTATAAATTCACTTGAATTTAAAGAATACTTTCTCTCAGTTGCTCTTTAATGTTAATCTTGTAATCTCATAAAATAACTTCAAGCTCTCGGATTTCTCAAAGCTTCTCTGAATACATGCTACTTACCTTGTCACTATAATAATCCTGGTAAGATAATGTGGTAGGATGCTTGCTCACAATGCTCTTTCTTATGTTTTCTCACAGAGTGGCTTTTTTAAGCGGGCTGCCTACTTCCGAACTATGCCAAAGTACCAAGGCGTGAAGATTTGTAAGAAGGAACAGTACCAGGTAAACCAGGGCCTTTTGATTGTGGACACCACAAACAATAAGAAATATGCTTGCTCACAATGCTCTTTCTTATGTTTTCTCACAGAGTGGCTTTTTTAAGCGGGCTGCCTACTTCCGAACTATGCCAAAGTACCCAGGCGTGAAGATTTGTAAGAAGGAACAGTACCAGGTAAACCAGGGCCTTTTGATTGTGGATACCACAAACAATAAGAAACACTGGATCACAAGCTGGACCGAAAAGACACAGTACTACTGATGAAAGCACTCTTCAACTGTCTCTCTTAGACAGTGGAATAGACTTTACAGACGTGTATGTCTGAATCAACGCAACTCTACCTGATTTGATTGAACTTCTGGATATCAGGTATAATTGAACATGTTCATTCAAAACTGTCGGACATGAACTGCTTATACAGAAGACTCGGAGATTACATACTGTATTGATGTTTATTTTTGTTACAGTTTTTCAACTGAATACATGCATTGTGTATGCTGACAGGCTTAACAATAAGGATTTTTCACCCACCACAAAGGAATGATCCATTTTTATATTTATGCTCTTAAAAATGAAGGTACTTTATTGGCATCTGTGGTTCCATGACGAAACTTTAACATCCATGGAATCTACCCAATGCACAAAATGTTCTTTGTAGTGGAAAAAGGTTATTTAGATTTTTTCGTTACACTAAGAAAAAAAGATCTTTCCACTGAAAGGTTCTCTGGGGAGGCCAAAATAGTTCTTCTGTGGAATCACAGCAAAAAATGCTACTGTCACCTTTATTTTTAAGAGGATAGCAATGTGTTTTTACTGTATATTTTTGCTAGAAATATTTTTTTTAATAAATGTTACTTTTTATTTTTTATTCATCGAAATTATTTTATTAAAATTGCAAGAAGACAACATGCAACAAGCTGAAAATTACATGGCTAAAATAGACTGTAATTCATTTCTGCTGAAAAACAATGACTTACACGGAGGAAAAAAACAATGGTTTAGTAACAAGTTTCACTCAGAAATTTTACAATTAAGTACAAAAAAATGGCAAGTAACATTGAATTAAACATGACATTTTGAAGTACAAAGACTAAAATAGTATTTTCTCGTAAGGTGTACTCTAGTAACTTTGTTTTATTTACAACTTTGAGAAATCATTTTCACTGTGTACAGTGCAAAACTTATCGGCATGTATTTTTAAACACATTTTGATTTTGTCAAGTATATCCCAAGTCTTTTTTATTTTTATTTAACAAAACCTTATATTTGTTAGCCAACTATTTGTTATAGCCAACTACCAAACTTGGATGTAGAAAATCAATGATTGTCAATTTGAAATCAGTGTAAGTGTAAAATTGTCATCCACTATTCTAGTGGGTCATCCTTATTGTTGAGCTCTGTGTTATGTTTGATTTTCATTCTTTCGCATTCATCTGTGTGAGGATTTGTATGCCATGTGCCCTGACTGAAAATAGCACTGTATTTTCTCTACCAACTTTCCAATAGTGCTAAAATCTGTTGCCCAGTCGTATCTCACTATTTCATCCCTCTCATTCGGTTCTTGCTTTATATATTTTTATCTTGCATCAGGTCACGTTTATGTGGAACACTGATGGATTTCAAAGAATAAAAAAACAACAACATATGAATGTGAATCGTTCAACGCAGGACAGTAAACAGACATGCACACAAACAAACACAAATACTCCTAGCCTATGCAATTGGGACAGCACCAAATTTCAAATTCAGCCTTTTTTTAGCTCCACTCTGCAGGTGCTGTGTGAGAGACGTGAACATGCGTGTATGTTTCATGCCCTGATTCTTGTTAGTTAATTTTTTTAGATCTTGTTAGTCAAGTTTTAGATCTTGTGGGGGATTATCTGTTGTAAATGTGACGATTAAATTGGTCTAAAAGTGTCCAAGTGTTGTAAGCTGTCATGGTTTTGTGGATATGTTTCTACACTGATTTATATTCGTATTTAAAATGTTTTATAAATTAAGTGGATGTAGTTTGCATGTTTAAGTCCTGTGCTCACGTGTGTCAACAGACCTGTAAATCTACGCAGCTAAAGGCTAAATAAATAAAGTGATGGCTTAATAAAAGGCAATGACTGCATGTTTCGTCCTAAATGCGCGCTCGTGTTACTAATTTAGTAAGTAATGAACAGGAATGCGATGATTTCTAATCCCGTTCAACCTCACACCAGCAGGAAAGTAATTGCATTAGAGTTTGAATAGATGTCAAAACTAACCGCATTCTCAAGCGAGCGTCACGGGAGCGCGAGCCCCGCCTGCAGAAAGTGTTGTAAGCTGTCATGGTTTTGTGGATATGTTTCTACACTGATTTATATTCGTATTTAAAATGTTTTATAAATTAAGTGGATGTAGTTTGCATGTTTAAGTCCTGTGCTCACGTGTGTCAACAGACCTGTAAATCTACGCAGCTAAAGGCTGTTTATCAAAGCTTGCATTAATTAGCTCTCAAAGCAGCGTTAGTAAACAAATAAATAAAGTGATGGCTTAATAAAAGGCAACGATAGCATGTTTCGTCCTAAATGCGCGCTCGTGTTACTAATTTAGTAAGTAATGAACAGGAATGCGATGATTTCTAATCCCGTTCAACCTCACACCAGCAGGAAAGTAATTGCATTAGAGTTTGAATAGATGTCAAAACTAACCGCATTCTCAAGCGAGCGTCACGGGAGCGCGAGCCCCGCCTGCAAGACGGGCACATCAAAGCGACCTGGCTTGAGAGTAGAGCCGTGGTGTGGTTTATTAAAGAGCAGCCCTGAGTGCTTGACTTGGCAGTGGATATGATGCAAGCCGCAGCCTGAAGCCAGAGGGAGAGAGGTGAGGGGAATAGTGATGTGAGATAACAGAGTGAATTCAGAATGCTTGAGTCTGCTGCTTCTGTGACCTACTTTCCTGCACCACCGACAAGGCCCAGAGCAGAGCATCCAGGATGCAACTGTCGTCATCACACAAATGTGCTTTTTTTTACGTGCAATTTAGTGGTCCTAGGCAAATATTGACTTTGTAAATTTGCATGCTGTTGTTTTTTTTGTTTTTTTGTCATGCATCAAGTTTTGCCTCAAAAAGACTTTTTAAATGTGCCTTGAAGCAGACAACGTTATCTTCATATTTGACAGCAGAAACTTCTCTCCGCAGGGAGCTGGGGTCTATTACAGGTGTGACTGTATTTTCAAAGAGCTGTGGGTGAGTGATGTGTGAATCTCTTCTTTTCCCGCAGCACAGCCAGTGTCATCAAAGCTGCACGATGGTTGGTGGGCATACAAAGATGTTGTCCAGGGGAGCTTTATACCAGGTAAGCCTTTCAAAAAAGAAAAGAAAACAGCCTGAGAGTATGCTGAATGTGTCTTGTCAAGAGTCATGCTGCTAAGACTCGCAAGATATGCGCCGATCACAACTTTATTCGCAGAGGCTTTGTGTGTTGACATATAGCACATGAAGCTCCAGGGTGCCAATGAATATTTGATTCACACCTTTAATGTACGAATGCGGTGTGAAGGAGGTGGATTTTACACTAATCAAGGTGAAAAGGTATTCAGCAGTACTTTGCACATGCCACATCATAATTTGGGCTTAAATGGGGAGTTTATAGTGCTAACATTTTCAATACAAGATTAGTTAGCCTGATCCGTTTAAGGTTGCTAAATGATACATGCAAGATAGAGGTTATCTTCACCAAACCCCCCGATATCATCACCAAACAGAATTGTGTCAAAAATTTGTTAGTACTGTTAGTACTTTTATTTAGCAAGGATGCATCAAATTCATCAAAAGTGGCAGTAAAAACATTTATAATGTTAGAAAAATTCCATTTTAAATAAATGTTGTTCTTTTGAATTTTCTCTTCATCAAATAATATATATCACAGTTTCCAAAACATTTTAAGCAGCACAACTGTTTTCAACATTCATGATAATAAAATGTTTCTTCAGCAGCAAATCAGCATATTATAATGATTTCTGAAGAATCATGTGACACTGAAGACTGGAGTAATGATGCTGAACATTCAGCTTTGACATCACAGGAAAAAAATATATTTTAAAATAGAAAAGTGTGGTTTAAAATTATAATAATATTTCACAATTTTACTATTTTTACTGTATGTTTGATTAAATAAATAAATACAGTGGGTATAGAAAAGAATCACCCCCTTTTTTGTTGCTTTGCACATTTTGTTGCTTTGCAGCCTGAAATGAAGAGGGACACTGTTTTTGTTTTATCCGGCTGTATTTGCAACTTATAACATCCAAGTGAAAGAAATAATACCAACATGTCAGAAAAAAACCTTTTTCTCTTTCAACCACTGTGTGGTCAGTTTTGCTGTGTGCTTTGGGTCGTTTTCATGTTGGAAGTTAAACCTTCTTCCCTTTGACAACTTTCTTGCAGAGGGCAGGAGATTTTCCTCAAGAATTTGACTGTATTTCCTTCTATCCTGACACTTGCTGCCGTCCCTGCTGCAGAGAAACACCCCCAGAACAGGATCCATGCTTTACTCTAGGAATGGAGTGTAGCGAATCAGCTCATGGGGAAATATGAATAATTAATCATAACTACTGAATGGAAAAATAAAGGTCGAAGCCTGGCACGTACTTAGGGTGTCCTGGAGCGTTTGCTCACATCTTCATCTTCTTAGACTTCAACCAAACCACCGACTCCTGGGCGGGTCACTGATGTGAGGCCTTTAAGGTCTGAAAAAGATTCACACCTCTCAAGATGGGCTTGTCCAATGAGAAAGGCCGGAATCCCAAGTGGGAGTTTGGAAATACTGGGGAGTTTATGACCCTTTGTGTGGAAGCATGGTAATTTGCATATGGAACTTGAATCGAAATTTCTAAAGATTCTCAGTACACTAATATATTGCCTATGTACCAACATATAATATACACTCTCGTTTCGATCATCAGAAGACTAATTCATAGATACTAAACATGGTAGGATTACATATAGGTAAGATGACAGAAACGAGTGGTTCCATCACAAGCCGGCATAAACAGTATACAATATAACGACAACATACACAATGGCCTGAAGGATATTTGTGTTCATTCAAAGAAACATTGTCCTATTAATTAATTAGAGAATAGTCAATTTTTGGGCATTGTGTGTGTTTGGTGTTGAGGCCAAATAATACAATTTTAGTCTCATTTGCCTCAGAATCTTCAAGGAGCGTTTTGGCAAAGCTCAGTCATGACTGCATGTGGCCTTTCTTGAGGAATCTTTTTTCTTGCAACCCTCCCAAACAAGCCACATTTGTGGAGAATTTGTGATATTGTGGTCACATGCACACAATGACCACTTTTTGTCATAATTTCCTGCAAGTGCTTCAGAGTTGCTGTAGGCCTCTTGGTCGCCTCTCTGACCAGTTTCCTCCTGGCTCTTTCATTCAGTTTGGAGCGACGTCCTGATCCAGGGAGGGTCTGTGTTGTACCAAATACCTTCCACTTCTTAATAATAGACTTCACTGTGCTTCTAGGCATTGATAAAGCCTTTGAAATTTTCTTTTTTGTATCCATCTCCTGACTTGTGCCTGTCCACAGCTTTATTCCAGAGATGTTTTGACAGTGTCTTGCCACCCATAGTTGATTGTTTGCTTCAGTTGCACTACCTAGGACTGAAATGCTCCAGGAAAGTTATTTTCATTCTGAGCTGACCAAAATTCTGATGCTAAATCTGTAAAATTATGCAGAATGGCTTTAAAAATTGTGAAATGTAATTATAATAGAATTAGCCGAAATATTTAATAACTGAACATGCAAGAGTAGAACACGATGAATTAATTCTCCCTTGTTCTGCGGGCACAGATCTCGTGTGGGCCTGGTTATAGCTTAATCTATTTTTACAGCTTGTGGTCTCAACTGATTAATGCTTACTATTGCAGTAGAGGTCTGAGACACTTTATGAGTTTTATTCGAAGTACTCCATTATGTAGTCAGTCAGAGTAATGTACTGTAGCCAGCAAAGGAGCTCTTTGAACACTGACAAGGACTATAATGGTAATTTCCTTTTATTATGCTTAAAAGCTTTTAATAAAGAAGATATCTATAGAGGACAGAACCATACAATTCCTACTTATTCATGAGGAAGGGTCTTTATATTTCCAAAAAAGTAATGCTTGATCTAGTTACAAGGACTCACGTAGTGCAGCATCAATCTGAGTTGTAGGGGATATCAAGTAAGCCCTATAGCAACTCATAAATATATGTATTGCACATAAATTTACCACTTTATTAAGTGTTCTGCAAGGGAGAAAAACTCTCTGGATTTATGTTGCTTAAATGTCCTTGAGACTTAAAAACGACTGTGAAAGGAAGAAGATGGGAAAGCATTCAAATAGCTAACGTCATCCCTTTCCCAGAGCATGTCTGGGTTCATTTCAAGACAGTCCTCACAAGAAAAATATTCTTTTGCTTGTCCATATGGTTTGAGAACACTAAAGGCAACGGTTTAGTAGTAATCCTTTAAACTTTAGTGTTTGCCTTAAGTGCTTGTGACGTGTGCACTTGTCAAATAATATATCAGTTATGGTTAAATCTGATTTTACTGTAATAAATTAGGCATAAGACAGATGAAGTGTGGAATTTCTGCACCGCCAAATGAAACTGAAAAAAGAATGTTTGTTTTCCAAACATGTTTTCTGGCAACTCCGCCGTCTGCCATTGGTCAGTGGCCCCGCCCTCAAACTGATGTCATTGGTTCAGCCACTGCTGCTGTTGCATTGATGTGGTTGGATGCTTAAACAAACAAAGCAATGTTTTGAAAGCACCACAGTTACACAGTGTTTACACTTCAGTTTGGAGAATCAGCCTGACAAATTGGCTACCTTATAGCTGTCTCTGCATATTAAGCTGCAATAGGAGGAAGTATTTAACATTTTTTCAAAGAATTACACGCATCAGTTTTAAGTATGAAGTGCATTTATGATTGATTCATCATACTTACAACAGGAATAAAATGTAACTCTCAGTCACTTTGATCATGCCAGCCACACAAATTAGCTTTCAAATCGTACAATTAAAAAGTTTAAGAGACTAATTTAAGTTTAGGAGGAAGAACCCAGTCTTATCAGTTGAACGTGATGCTCCAATAAGTCTCATGATTGACATGCATAGGTTATTTTTAATAATGGACTTCAGTTCACTTCAGTGAGAGATGAACTTTTCTTTAATGTGTTCATATTCATGAATTAATATTTCTGTCCTGTTTTTGGCATTCTACATTGTTAATTGCAAGAGAACATCTCTTCTGTTCTCCTGAGGGTTTTGCTGAAGCTGCTACATGACATGTTCTATTTTTGAAATTCATGTTGAAAACTTGTCACACTTGCACTAAAAACAAATTAGAATATGGGGACATGCCAATCAGCTAATCAACTCAAAACACCTGCAAAGGTTTCCTGAGCCTTCAGAATGGTCTCTCAGTTTGGTTCACTAGGCTACACAATCATGGGGAAGACTGCTGACCTGACAGTTGTCCAGAAGACAATCATTGACACCCTTCACAAGGAGGGTAAGCCACAAACATTCATTGCCAAAGAAGCTGGCTGTTCACAGAGTTCTGTATTCAAGCATGTTACCAGAAAGTTGAGTGGATGGAAAAAGTGTGGAAGAAAAAGATGCACAACCAACCGAGAGAACCGCAGCCTTATGAGGATTGTCAAGCAAAATCGATTCAAGAATTTGAGTGAACTTCACAAGGAATGGACTGAGGCTGGGGTCAAGGCATCAAGAGCCACCACACACAGACGTGTTAAGGAATTTGGCTACAGTTGTCGTATTCCTCTTGTTAAGCCACTCCTGAACCACAGACAACATCAGAGGTACACGAGTTTCACAATTTGAGTTGAATTACTGAAATAAATGAACTTTTCCACGACTTTCTAATTTATTGGGATGCGCCTGTTTATTTCATAAACAAAATCAGATACGGTGTTTGGGGTCAGCAAGTTTGGTTTTTAAGAAATTAATACTTTTATTCAGCATGGATGGATTGAAATAATCAAAAGTTACAGTAAAAATAGTCTATTCATCAAAGAATCCTAAAAAAATTGATCAGTTTCCACAAATATATTAAGTAGCACAGCTGTTATTGACATTGATAATAGTAAGAAATGTTTCTTGAGCAGCAAATCAGTATTATCAGAATGATTTCTGAAGGATCATGTGACACTAAAGACTGGAGTAATGACTGCTGAACATTCAGCTTTGCATCACAGGAATTAATTACATTTTCAAATATGTGATGTATAAATTTTTTTTGTTATATCACAATATTATGGTTTTGGATCAAATAAATGGTGAGCCTAAGAGACTTCTTTCTAAACCTCAACAATGTAGAGTGGAGAGCTTTTTGTTTGCTTTTCACATTTAAAAAATAAGCAATAATTAAGTGCTGGTCTGACGTTTCAGGTGATTGCATTTATGTGCTACTATTAGCGTAACTGAAGAAGCAATTGCCATTATACTGTGATTAAATGTATATGTTCAGCTATCTCCCATCAGTGCTTCAGGGGATAAACAAACATCTGGAAAACTGCACTGTTGAATAAATTCTGAGATGCAGAAATGTGTAAAGCCAAGAGAATATGTAAAAAGTTAATATTTGTAGCATTAAAATGAATGTGTTACTTCCGTATATAAGACTTTCTGCGACTTTCAGTATGATGTAACAGCAGCGCTCAGCCTTGCATTGTACTGTACGCTGTTCGGTTGATGTATTTATCCCCTGTCATACCTAAAAAGCACTTTGAGAGAAGTTCTCATTAATGTATTGAACCCAAAGCCAAATCTGGCACAGATCCCTGTTGATGAGGGTGCCATCTGTCTACCACTCATCAATTGCTACAGCAAAATCACTATATCACTCTGGATGGGAGCTCAAAATACACTGCGGATCCTTAACAATGGATTCAGAGAGATTTTAGCTTAAAATACAAACAGACTCAGGACCTCAAACATACAGTAAACTCAGGTTGCTGTTGCTGCTTTTTAATTTTTGGATACATGGTTTGATATTTTGTATTTTTTTTTTTGTCTGTCTTGATTCTCTTTAAAGCAACAGTATGTCTTTTTTTTTTTTTTTTACCTGAAAATATAATTCTGATGGTACCCTGACTGCTAAAGGTGAATCGCTTTTGTTTCTTTCCTATGCATTCCCAAAATGTCTTATCTGGGGGTATGTAAGTTTGGTAAGCATGTGCAAAAATCCGCTGAAAGAGCATATTGTTTTACGGCAGCAACAAATACACGTGTACAGCTATCCACTGAAATGAACATATTTACAGTAGTAAATTGCACTCACTTAATTGTAGGGGGCTCTGAAGTTGCAAAAATTCACAGAACTACATGCAGTTGCTTTAAAAACAAAAGCATGATATATTGGTATTATATCATTATTCACCAGTATCTGATATTTTTTAATTATCAGTATCAGTTCATACTGGATATATAACGGACAATATTGTCTTGGATTTAAATGTTTGTGCCTAATTTCTTTATTTTTCTGTTTAAATTACCTTTAATGCCATCTAACGCTTACTTTAGTTAGTTTTTATAAACACTAATATTTAATATCACTTATATTTCAAAGTGAATATTCATTTTTCATAATGTACATTGTAATGTTGTGATGCCGAAATTCGCTTTTAGCATTTAAACCAATAAATTTGAGTTTTAATGGTGTTTTTAAGACAAAATGTTCCATATTTCCGTATTTAACCTTTATTTCTGGTGTAGCACAGTGGATGCAAGTTACAAGAAAAATAAAATCAAAATCTTGAGGAAGTGTCCCACAACAGGACAAAGCAATAATAGATCAAATTCACCTGCTAATTTATTTCTTGACTTATTACTAAAATGTTATAGTTTACTATATTATACCTAATTATATAATTATTTTTTATATATATTGTATAATTAGTTGTTATATTATTAGTTATTGTTATTGATTGTTATTAGAAATATGACATAAAGAGTTTGCTACTACCACACTTTGCTATGGGAGAATTCTATACTGGAAGCACTCTGAGATTTTAGCAGAAATACATAGGCAGCCATTATCAGCTTATCGAATCACCCAGGATTTTAATATCGGTGCATCAGAGAGGGTGGAAATCATTTGGCTTTTCAATGTTTTTGGTGGGGAAAAAAAAGAAATCTATGAATATGTTCATATTTACATTTCTTTGTATTTTTCCCATCCAAGATGATAACTAGTGTCTGACAACTTTGTGACTTTAGGATTTTGTATCTTACATTTTGAATTATAGGCTGAGCAGAGCCTACTTTTAAATGAGCACACATGTCTTACTCATTCCTCCCTCAGTTTTATAAGCAGTTGCATATTCTGTCTGTCTTTGACATTTAAGAAAGCACCAAGAGAGACATCTGAGAAGTGGGGAAAAAAAAACTCGACGTAATGAGCTCAGTGACTGTTAGGATGCCAGACAAAAGCAGCATTACAAGTTAGATCACGGGTTTGGAAACAATAATTTTTTTAGGTCACTGTACAAAGAGATGCTGAAAATAAACACAAATATAGAGTAAATAGCCTTCATGAGTTTATGTTATTCCACAGCTTCCTCGTATAGCATAATCTTTGTATCTAATGTATTTTCGCTCTTTCTAATTTAATACGGCAACACATCACGTAGCCCAGTCCGGTTTCACTCCCACATGATGAGAGGAAAATCAGGCCAGGGGATCACTTGTTCATGCTGGATAAATCTGTTTATAATCTCAGCCTATGTGGACAAAAAGTGATATTCTTTACATCGAAGCATTCCAGCTCTTGATGATCTAATGAGTTTGACTTGGCCAGTGTGAAGGTCAGGGTCACAGTATCATCTGCTCTCGCGCTCCTGTCACTCACACTCACGCTAGATTGTTTCTGTTAAAGGGGTAGCTCACCCAAAAATCTGTCATCATTTTCGCACCCTCATGTTGTTCCAAACACGTATGACTATTAAGAAGATATTTGAGAGATGAGAGATGTCTTTTGTTGTTTGTTTTTTTATTTCCATAAAGTTGAATTCAGTGGTCTCCAGTGATATTTGTCTTCCAAAGTTCTACAAAACGTTTAGTGTTTCACAAAAGAAAGAAAGTTATACAGGTTTGGAACGACATGAGGGTGAGTAAATGATGACAAAAATCAAATTTTTAGCTGAGCTATCTCGTTAAAGACAGGAACTTCCCAGGTGCTGGGCTCTTCCCTTGATCTGTCATGTTGATTTTAAATTTGATAATTGAGATTTGAGGTTCAGTGCACTAATAAAAGTCATTGCAATCAGCAATAAAGTTGTTTACTGTTGTAGGACTGTGAAACATCTCTGAGAATAAATTAATCATATAAGGTCAAGTATGTCCTTTGGCTGTGTGGCTAATGTGACTAATTCCATCTGTGTTTCTTTTTTTTCCTGAGTTTGTTTTTGCGAAACGAATCGCATTAACTTGTTTTTCTTTTTCCTTTGGATGCACGATAATGACCTCGTTTTCAAAAGAGAACCGCCACTGCGCCTGGTAATTATGTGTTAAAATTGATTGCTAGTCAAAAGGTTGTCTCAAAGGATGTCAACCACTAGATCCAAACTCAAAAATAACATCACACCATGGATGTGGCTTACAGAGGAAATTTGGGATGAGCAATTTGAGATAATCCCAAACATATCCCCCGCCAATCAGATCATGACCCATTACAAAACGGCAAACGCAACTTCACTTTTTATGTTTATATTTTGCTAGTGCCATCTTTCTGGGGACTAGTTAACACTGCCTGGAACCTGTGCACGATTGGGAAGAGACAGTCGCCTATCAACATCGAAACCAGTCGAATGATTTTTGACCCCTTCCTCAATCCGCTACGACTCAATGCAGGGCAACGGAAGGTAAGTACTGGAAAGGATAAAGCTCTTTATTGTACTTCCTTAAAATATCACAGACACTACGATTGACAGTTGCATCATAATCCTTTTTATAATATCTGTTTTAAGTCATAAAATAGCTGTTTTTCACATTATTGGTACTGGTAGAAGATGGACAGTCACATATTATTCACTTTAGACAACTGTCCCATAATTCACTAGGATTTTGACAAGATCGGGTCACACAGCATAACCCCAGCTTAACGGTCCATTTGTCAAATCTAATCACATTCTGTATTTACTTCTGTGGCCATTGTTTAGACAGCTAGTTGTTTTGTTTTTGCTGCTGAGTCTTAATTCATTGGATGACTTTCTTATACAGCTCTATTGGCCAATGAAGCGGATCCTCAATTATTTTTGCCGAGCACAACAGTGAAGCTTTTCCAAATTAAGCCTTTGAAGATGGCTAATGCTCCACGACTGTTAGTTTGTTGCAACGGTGCTGTAATGAGATCGCTAATTCTCTCCGGCGTGCAAAATTGCTTGCCATTTGCTTTCAATAAGGTGCACCTGCAGTCAGTCAGCAGATTAGTGTGACTAAACTCATTTAACAGACACAAATCCAGTGTTTGATTATCGATGGTTGGTACATCAGATATCTCGCTAACCTCTAAAGGGATTCAGCAGTTGTTGTCATACAGATCTTGAGCGCTAAGGGGGATTTATTCCACAGAACGATAGGGAAAGGAAGGAGTTAATTCCACATTTAACATCCTGTTTTATGATTAATGCTACTGTGCATCTGCTGGGGGAGATTAGGCAGGCTCACCATCTGTGCTGACAGGGGCTGTCAGTGAAGAATTCTCCAGTGAAGCTCCAAGAGGTTGTGGTTATAAATGATATACCATAGTTCATCTTCGCTCAATAATACATTAGTACCCTAGACTTAGTCAGGAGCCTGAAATAAAAGTGTACTGCTGTTTTCCTCTGGAGGTTTTTCTGCTCTTATTTCAGGAGACCCAATTACATTAATGTATGCATCGCTCCTTTGAGCTTGTTATGGCTGTGGTCTCTATGTGGGGAGTTGCATGTTATTCCTAGAGAAAATTCCATTGGAGACCTAAATGGTCTCCATGAATTCAAGTCCGGTTGATTGGTTGGTGGCATTGGTTACCGGAGGGCTCTTAAATAATGGAATTTATGTATGGAAACTCTAGGCTATAATGGAAAAGTTTATGGTCTCTTTTAGATGGACTAGCTATGTAACCTGCAAGTATTAATTTATTAATTCTAAATATAAAAATAACAAAAATTATAAAAATGACAAAACCACATAAAAAAATTACTAATACTAAAATTTAAATGAAAGCTGATAATATAAAAAATAGAAGCCAATTCAAAATATTTTGTATATACTTTATACAAATGTATAAAAATTAATAAATACAAAAATAACACTGGTGAGATATAAATTTGCAGTTGTGAGAGATAAAGTTGCTATTAAAAACATCAGTCACAAGTCACAGTTACACTCTCAGGAAAAAAATTTGCAAAAATTCTTGTCACTGGGGCAGTACCCTTAAAGGGACACCTTTCTTTACACCTAAAGGTTGCATAATAGTCCCATAAGAGTACATATTACTACTATAAGGCACCAACATGCACCATTTAGGGGGTATAGATGTTACAAAGACATCCCTTTGATGGTACCGCCCCAGTGACAAGCTGTTGTTCCCCTAAAGGTACAATTTATTTCCACTTTTTTTTGACAGTGTATGTGAAATAAAATCATAGTTATGAGGAAAAAAGTCACATTTTCATTCTCTTCTCTGAGTTGGAAATAGGCTTCCATAGTCTTTTGAGTTTTGGTGGACAGTTTTGATTATTGCTGAGAATAATGAGTGTCATCCCATGTATTATAGTTCAGCTTAAATTGCCATTTTATTCTGAATTATTTCAGGGCTACAGTTCAAAGTGATCGTAATTACCTCTTGCTAAGAATTTGTTTTTTTTGACAGTGTATGTGAAATAAAATCATAGTTATGATCTTCTCTGAGTTGGAAATAGGCTTCCATAGTCTTTTGAGTTTTGGTGGACAGTTTTGATTATTGCTGAGAATAATGAGTGTCATCCCATGTATTATAGTTCAGCTTAAATTGCCATTTTATTCTGAATTATTTCAGGGCTACAGTTCAAAATGATCATAATTACCTCTTGCTAAGAATTTATCCAGATGAGATGTCAGGCTAAATGTATTGCTTATTCTCATGTTCCTGAGGGATCAGCAGTTCTTAAACTGTCTCCAGATCACAAATGAGCCGACTATATTAAACTAATTTGAAATCTCCCAGTAGAATACATTCTTGAACGCCCTCACAGCTGTTTACAAAGATGTTCTGATCACTAGGGCGCCTTAACATTTTGGTCTCAATTAGAAATCCTTTTTAGCAAAGTTATCACAAAGTAAAGACAAAACATTCCAGGTGTTGTTTTCCATTTATAGCTTCTCGTTTTTCAGCTTCGATGCATTTGCTTCATAATTCCTACCTCAGCAGTTGCACCTGTCATCCAGGTTTACCTGGAAAAACCTCAGTCCATCAGAACCAAACAGTCTGTTCATTATATTCGTGCCAGTTTTTCCAGGAATTCCCTCTGCGAGAGCCACAATGTCCAACAGCGCGTATAATGCCTTTTAACCTATCCAGGTGAAAACTGCTTCGCCTTTGTCCTCCCATATGTACTCACTGTAAACATAGAATCACTTAATATTGTTTTATCATAAAAGGACAGAAATGAGAATCACAGAAACATCTGATCTAGGAAATGTAACCTAATTTGGTGTAATTTTCACTCCAAAATAGCTAGTAAATGTCACAAAAATGGCAAGCAACACATGTGAAATTTTGAAGTAGAAACACTGAAATAGTATTTTCTTGTAAAAAGTACTTCAATAATCTGTTTTATTTACAGCTTGTTTACAGTGTAGATTTGTTTTTCAGGTCAGTGGAACGATGTATAACACGGGCCGACATGTGTCCCTGCGCCCAGACAAGTCACACCTGGTGAACATCTCTGGCGGGCCGCTGAGCTACAGCTACAGGCTGGAGGAGATCCGGCTTCACTTTGGCACCGAGGACAGTCGGGGCTCTGAGCACCTGCTCAACGGCCAGGCCTTCCCTGGAGAGGTGAGCCAACATAGAGCCTGGAAATACATCACTTCTGTGGGATTCAGTCTCCCTTCAAAGGCCTGGATGGGGCGAAAACCCCATGAAGTACTGGCACTGAAGTTAAAGAAGTAGGCAAAATTCTGAAGTTAGTCCCTTTTATCACATCAGTTTTGCAACAGAAATAAAATAATCTACTTCCCTGAGACCATGATCCTTCGACAACCTCAGAGTTAGACGAAGACCACAATGAGATCTCATTTGAGCAGGACAGAGAGAAATATTCCAAAGCCAAGTCAACTGTTGCAACTTTCACTAGAGTGATACATTTGTGTGTATTGTGCAGTGTCACTGAGTTTGCATTAATAAAGTCTTTTTATTCAGGATTAAAGGCCAAAATCAGGATTATGGAAATTCCTATCTTAAGACGTGATTGTGCTTTAAGAAGGGACTAAATAAAACCGTAAAGCAATGGGTCATCTTCCAGATTGCACAGTCGGATATGAATTGGTCTTGTGCTGGAAATGTACATTTTTATATTGAGGAATAACCCCATCCATCACACAGGTGCTTCTTAGAACTTTTGTGGAGCCTAGTTTTTGACTTTCTTTGTTTGTTTGAATTCAACTATTTAAAATTATATAAAAAATGCAATGCATACATACAGTGACTTGAATAAACCAATTATATAGTGTTCATTTCGTTAACGAAATCTATGACGAAAAATGTTCGTCAACAAAGTTTTTTCCCCTGACGAAAACGAGACTATAATAAGGGCATTAAACGATAACTGAGACTACACTCTTAAAAATAAAGGTGCTTCACGATGCCATAGAAAAACCTTTTTGTCTAAATGGTTCCATAAAGAACCTTTAACATCTGAAGAACCTTTCTGTTTCACAAAAGGTTCTTTGTGGCGAAATAAGGTTCTTCAGATTACAAAAACGCAAGAAAGAGATGGTTCTTTAAATAAGACTGAATGGTTCTTTGTGGAACCAAAAATGGTTCTTCTATGGCATCGCTTGAAGAACCTTTTGAAGCACCTTTATTTTTAAGAGTGTATATCAACATCCAATATCGTTGATGAAAAAAAACGAGACTAAAATGTAGTTAAAAGAACAAAAACTATACCAAAACCTTGATGTTGGTTGCCAGATATCAAGAGCTCAAATCCCCCAATCAGAGCTTTTCTGTTAAATGGATACGTACTCTGCCCGGCTTTTTGCTTTATGCAATCTGGCAACCATTCACATGCTCTCTCTGCAGAGGCACTGTGATCTGAAAACACCGACATACAGTACTGTACAAGTAAGCTGGAGTTCAGCGATCTCCGTTTGAGGTATTCTGCTTAAATGAAAGTGTCATTCAGCCAGTCTGTGTTCTGTCATGGATCTCAACTGCATTGTTTGTGATAGTGGTTGCTGATTGTAACCTCTGTGCGGCAATAAGTCTTTTTGCCATTGTTTTAAAAGATAAACATTAATGCAATTTGGAATTATTGGCATTACTATTAGGAATTTCTCTGTTATAATATTTGAGAGTATGTTTTTGTAACACAGGTTTTCATAACGTAGACCGTGCGAGTGTATATATTAAGTATTTGGTGTTTATTTAGCCTCTAATTGATATCCTGTTATAAATCTGTACACTAGATAAGGTAAAATAAACCATGCATACGAGTCGACATTCTAATGATTTGTGCCTATTGGTGAAAGAGCAACTTCTGATGAAATGTAAAAATAAATTTCCCAAATGACAACAATCATTGCAATTAAAATTGAGCAAAATAATATTTTTTGCATATTTTCGTCTTACTGTATAATGGTTAAAATGATTTTTTTTTTAAAGATAATTTTAACCATTAAAGACGAAAACATGATGAAAATGTGCAAGTTTCCACTCACTAAAACTAGACTGAAATTCTCAGACATTTAGTCGACTAAAACTAAAACAGGACAAGTTGACTAAATATAAAAACTAAAAGTTACATTTGACACAGGACTAAGACTAAATAAAAAATAGCTGACAAAATTAACACTATGGTTATATGATGAGCATGTCATTTCTGAATTTAAATTAATTTCAATATTTTTGGTGACAGTCAAAAATGTAAGGGTACTACAACGATCCTGATCATATAATGAAAAAGAATGAAATGATTGAAAATAAGATGTTTTATTATTATTAGTTTATACCCAAATCTCAGGTCAGTAAGATTTTTTTATTATTATTCAGCGAGGATGCATTATATTGATCAAAAGTGACCGTAAAGATAATTATAATGTTAAAGGTTATAATAATCCACAAAACTGTTAAGCAGCCAGCAGCCTCGGAGAGCATAATATAATTCTTTCAAAGTGTAAAAAATAAAGTGTGTGTTTATGCTAATATTTTTTTTAAAGAAATTGGCACACGTTTTAAAGTACAGTTTGATTTTTTTTAAATATCCTTTTCTTTGTTGTAGTGACCCTCATACTGAAACAGAGCAGACCATTCTTAATGTACAACAAGAGCCAGTTTTCAAACTGTCAAGACCACCAATTTGTACCAGAAATATCAAATAATTTTAATGAGTTTACACTTAATCTTATTGTGGTGCAAAGATGTGCGGCCCTCTCAGATCCTCACCTCACCTCTGATTTCACTGAAGTCAGCAGCTTCACTTCATTTTCCTAATCCAAATGAGGTTATATGGGCAGCAGCTTTCCAACAACTTCATTTTGAAGCTGACAAGCAAGCTCATTATAACTGATGACTGAAGCATATTTTCTAATGAGTTCCAATGCATTTTTGAGCCACTGAAAATTAAGCAGCAGCTCTCCTGGCTTCCATCTCTCTGGTTTCATTGAGCTGTGCTGAAAGAACGATAAAGCAGGAGCATAAAGGAGCTTCGTAATGTTCCCATTAACAATTCATTAACAATGTATACACAACACACAGCAAAATATTTATACGGATTAATGTACTGACCCTCATTACAGTGTCGCATATGATTACAAGCTGACACAATGGAAGTTAATGGACTTATATGCAGTCATATACATATAATGTGTGGGCATATTTTATGCATTATGGCTTTTTCTGAAAGTATTGCACAGCCAGATATACAATTACAATATTTTGGCTCCATTCACACATAGCAGGTGTTTGTTATCCAGGGTGTTTTTTGTTTGTTTGTTTTTTTTCTGCAAATTACACTTATTTTTTTCTTTTCACAGGTGCAACTCATTCATTATAATCAGGATTTGTATTTAAATTACAGTGATGCCATCCGGAGTCCTAATGGAATTGCAGTTGTTTCCATCTTCATGAAGGTTAGTAGTCTCAGCTGCTTAAAATATATACAATGGAGAGGTGACACTTCATTAATTAGTCTTAAACTGCATTAATCTTTAGCAAACGTTATATAGACATAGGAGACCAGAAGTTCATGTCCAGTCAGATATGAATGTGCACAAATTAACATGCCATAAAAAGTGCTTGAATGTACATTATTGATTTGTTTTTTTAAGCATTATATAATATATTAATGTTATTCATTTAAATTTTGTCTGCAAGGAATTTAAAGCAATCTTAAACTATCAATAAATACTCTAAACTTAACGTGGAATAATCTAGTAGAATTGACTCTTAGATTAGCGTTTAGCTCAAATGTTAAGCCAGTTCTAAAAATCTAGATACTTTAATAATGGATCATACAAAAAAAAATAAAAAATCAGACTGCAGTATTCTGCATCAGTTGTTTCATATTAACTAAATTAATTATGCATCAATGCTGCTTATGTTTCTTGAAGAAAACAATTTCTTTATTAGCAACTCCATATAACATTTAAATGATTTATATGAATCTAAATTATTTAAAACAAAGTTTACTCAATGATAAATGAGAATCATATTTCAGAATCAAAATGCTTTTCTGAGAAAATTCCCATGGGCAAAAATGTGCATTCCAGACAAGAAAAAGATTTTAATGACCGCCATGATGAAATATGACCACAAAAAGCTTTTTGTTTTATTCAAAGTCCTATCTTCATTAATAATCAGCAGTATTGCCATCTCATATGCATTGTGTGCTTGCAAGGTGCGCTGTAAAAATTTTGATTTGTAGATGGTGAAAAGGTAACCTAAGATGTACTTAATACTTGTATTTTTTTGTTAACTTACCAATCCTATGTTAACTCTTAAAAAATTAAAAATATTTAAATTGTAACTTAAAGGAGCTCTATGAAATATGTTTAATTTCTTACATAAATTGTTCAATATTATGTATTCTATGAGACATTTACTGGTAACGAAGAGCTGAACGTGCTTGATGTCTTGAAATGTTTGGCTTCACACACATGATTACAAACAACAGTGTAAATAAAACTGGCAAATGGTCAATCCATATTAATTATTCAGGCCCCAGTGCATGCTGGGAAAAGAGAGAATGGGATTGAATGAACCACTAATCCATTTTGTCAGAGCAGGCCTATTTTGAACTAAAAATAAAATGCAATGCTCAGAGCTGCTTTGGGATTACTTGTGTTCATGAGAGTTCTTAATATAACAACATTTAAGATATTTAAATGTTAAATATTTTATATATATTATAAATAAATTAATAATGTTAAAATTCATATGTATATAAACTATTATATTTAAATGATGGCAGATTTTAAATTTCAAGATGTCTTAAAGGGGTCATATGACGTTGCTAAAAAGATCATTATTTTGTGTATTTGGTGTAATGAAATGTGTTTATGCGGTTTAAGGTTAAAAAAACACATTATTTTCCACATACTGTACATTATTGTTTTTCCTCTATGCCCCGCCTTTCTGAAATGCGTCGATTTTT